AAGAAAAAGCTGGCTATAAAAACATTATGTGCGGTAAGTGTAACTTACTTCTTCAGTATTCCATTACATGGCTGTCAAAAGCATTACTTAACATTTCCATATGCAAAACACATAGTGCCCCAAGCAGAAGCCTGGGAGTGTACATTGTGGATACTATGTATGTTCTATGATGAGTAACACCGGTACCTACAGGAGACACCCCTTAAGGGTAAGTTTAAACCTCTTCACCCGTAGTATAAAAACTTTGTACATGGTATGAAATACTAAACCGAAACTTGTTCACTTGTAGTGGAAAGAAGAGAAAGAAATGAAAAGAGACCCATACAAAGATGACCAACTCTTAGAGCTCGTCGGCGACCTTTACAAATTCATATTGGGCCAGATTGTACACGTCAAAGGCACCTACCATGACCGAGAGTCTGACTTAGGTAGAAATCATCAGTACCAACACCTTCGTGAGACTGAAAGGCTAACTCTAGGACGTTGATAACAATGTGTATGGAATTTGACATTGGTTTTACCTTGTGAATTATGTCTATTTAATGATGGATTGTATATATTATTGTGAATTGGACTTGTAATTGTAATTTATATAATACTCTTGTGTTTGTAGTTCATATAATACTCTTGAGCGAACGCAGTTCAGAACGTTGGTCGCGGGGCGTTCGGTGAGACATTGAGCGAACGCGGTTTGGAACGTTGATCGCTCACTCGCAACGCGAACGCAGGAATACGCGGAAACAAACAGGGCGGTTCTAGTCGAATTTGAATTTTTTTTTGCGGAAAACGTACTGTAGGGGCGGTTCTAGACTGAACCGCACCTACAAACAGGTATTATAGGGGCGGCTGGTACTACAGCCGCCCCTACAAATCAATTTGTAGGGGCGGTCTGAGAATCGCCCTTACAAATGCATGATTTATAGAGACGGTTTGATAGGGACGACTGGCTAAACCGTCCCTACAAATAGTTTTGAGCCGCCCCTACAAATGATATCTGTAGTAGTGATTCCATCACGGCATCACAACACCATCAGGCCACAGGCGGTAGCAAGCCAGCAGTCAGGATTCAGGTACGTGATATCTTATCTCTGTCCAATTCCTTAATCTGTCCAATTCCCTATTTTATGAAGTTGCAGTTAATAATTGTTTTTCCAATTTTAATAGGACCATGTCATATCTTTCTGGCAATGACAAAAGAATGAAGAAAACATGCAAAAAGATGATTTAATACAATCACAGAAAGGGGTTCTACATAAATGTGAGTGATGGTGAGTATGTATTTAATTCAGTTTACTATTTATTAGCTCGTGTATGTGTGTGTATATGTATATATAGTACTCTTAGTATTATTATATTTATAAAAAAGGTCCAAAATTTTAGTCCGTTCTAGGTCTAAAAATACTCAGGACCGGCCCTAGGCAGTGATGAGGACCTTCACACTACTAGTTTTAGGAGGTCCCCATCATTTTCTGATTATCAAGTTAAGAACCAGTGAAGGGTTATCATTGTCAGTTCTAGAGCAGCCAACAGTGAAGGTTAGTTCTATAATAGCGTAGAACCTCTTAACAATGCAATAATCTAAACTTTTACCGTGCACACGTGTGGCACCATAACGAAATTACCAAGCCTCTTCAGCCACACGGCAAGAGAAGGCAGCATTCTCGAAATGCAGCTAGATACATACGCCAGCCAGGAATTGTCAGTGCAGTGCTCATTATATCGTAGGTAGGGATCACACGAGACGCCGTAGCCCAGAAGGCTATAGCTAGCGATGAGACAGGTGACAGTTAGCCCACTGACTGGTATGCCCCACTACTTTAGTACTTTGCTGCACGTACGTACTGTGTGTATTCCCACTGATACGTAACAAGTGGACAAAATCTTGAGAAGATCACAGCATGTATGATGTGATGTATATACTACACGACCAACTTGTAAAGTTGCAAGCTAGCCCTCCCTGCAGGGATACAGAACTACATCCATGATCATCTTTTCTTTCTTTTTTCCCCTTTTTATTTGACATCTCGATTTCTAGAGATGAGAGAGAGATGAATGCACACGGCCGCCCCGGCCGGCTAGCTCCCTTGCAGATGAAGAGGAAGCAGAGGGGGGGCCTGGTAGCCAGACGTACACTCCATGCAAAGGCTTCCACGCATGCATGCTTTGCAGCTTGCTACAACGAGCCTGTTCGTTGATTGGTTTCTGAGCTGATAAGGTACTGATTTATTGTGATAGAAAAACACTGTTGGCTGGCTGATGAAACCAACAAGCAAACAGGACTGAACAACCCATCAGGCCGGCTCCATCGACATCGATCGGTCTGTTATTACATGCACATATTATAAGGGACTGTTCCGATATGCCCCTCATCATCCAAATAAATCCCTTTATGTGATGATGATGCCGTTTGTAAGCCGGACAGAGAGAGAGAGAGAGATTATGTGAAGTGGAAGCAATTATGTGACTTGGCGATCGAGAGGTATGCATGGTATGCTTCATTGCAAAACAACCCCACAGGGCCGGGACAGCCATGTTCACTTGTCTTACGAGCTTTACTTTTTTAGCGAAGAAACTGTGTTTTTCTATAACAACGATGTCTCCTCAACTGATCTCGCTGCCCTCAGGTGGCCATGATAGCCTTCTGGCTCAAGGGACGTGACAAGGGAAAAAAGACAACCAGAGCTGGAGTCAAAGACAAGAAGACTAGAGCACTGGGTGTGTCTCAACTGTCATCAACACAACAAAATGCATGGTTCACCCGTACCATCCTAGGTATATATGTGCTTGGCATACCGCACCCCTATAGCTAGAGTATTGTCGTACTTCTCTTTCTACTAATATGGAGTATATATAATACTCCCTCCGGGATATAAGGCATGCAAGTATTTTAAAATTTAAACTTCATTATCTTTGACCAATAAATAGTCTAATAATATAAAAAATTATAGTATAATAGTGATAACATTAGATTTGTCTTTACAAATACTTTCTAATGATACTTTTGTTGTTGCTATAAATTATATACAATAGTATAAATTAACGGTTAAAGTATGATCTTGAAGACTGCACCAAGTCAAATCACACCTTATATCTTGAGTACAGCGCAATACTGTTGTTGTTTACACTTAATTATCAACCTCTCTCAAAATGAGTATCTTGATGAAGCAAGTTACATTATTATTAGTAGTGAAGCTCTGTCCTCTACAATAAGACGATAAATAATACAATATTACAATATAAAAAAATTATAAACGAAACTCAATCGGTGAGTTTTAACCAACCTATAAAATCTCATACACTAAACACACACACACACACACACACACACACACACATATATATATATATATATATATATATATATATATAGAGAGAGAGAGAGAGAGAGAGAGAGAGAGCTCAATATTATCGTCTATAGGTATCGATCCTGCTTTCAAATAAAAAGAGCCAGCATGATGCATTAGCACCTATTCTCTTGCAACACGAAGTGAAAACCTAGGTAACAAATTACACCAACCATCCTCCTAGAAAAAAGAACATGATGAACAGGGTTATATAGCTAAAGTGTCTCATACATCTTTGAGATGATGGTACCACCAAATTGATGGTCACTCTTAACATGATAGCATTGCACTTCTAAGTCATTATAGTTCTACAAACTTACAATGTGTCTCATTCTTGTTGTTGTATATTCACCACTTCATGCGATGAATGCTTGACTCATTTACGAATATCCCCTTCATACATGTAATCTCAGTAAATTTTATTTATTTTGTTTGCGAAGAGGAAGGGATTCAATTAAATTGAGAGCACAATTACATCTCTATGTACATCCAAAATCTTTAGACAATAAGAAAGATACACTAAATTAAGTAAGTTCAGAGCCCTCTAATAACATTCTTCATCTCCAATTTAATCCATGTGGACGACTGCCTAGTTCCAATATGCTAAAAGTTGAAGTTCGGATAACATTCTGGACATCGCTAGATTAGAATCTAGGGAGCTGGTGACACAGATGTACAAACGGAGAATACGAACATCCCACCAACCACATCAACCATTCAAAAGGAAATGATATGGAGAATGCCGATTGAGTGCCTAGATAGGCATTCGCACCAGAATTGTTTACAAGAAACAAGATTCGCCAAGGAATTGACGAAGGCGATGTTATATTCAGTAGCTTAGTGAAACAATTTATTTAATCTAAACTCTAACTACTAGGACTAGATTGATTGACGGAGGATCCTGATGCTCTTCACCATCGATGAGGGCGTCGCACGGAAGGAGGGGGACGGTGGTGGTGGCGGTGGAGAAGCCATGAGAGAGAGAGAGAGAGAGAGAGAGAGAGAGAGAGAGAGAGAGAGAGAGAGAGGTAGTGGCGTGGTGGAAAGAGCCCTAACCATGTAGAATATTTCTAGTTAGTAAATAAAATTGTGACTTATGGTCCTCAAATGAGTTTCTTGCAACACGTTAAAAGTGAGTTTTATTTTATTTTCTAGGTCTCGAAGTTGAGCAATACTAGCACCCAGGCCAAAGCCAAACTGCAAACTGCTGGGCGTGTGAGCCTAGCAATTTTGCTGTTTGCCGATCCCCCTTCAGCTCTCCCCATTGTCCAAATTTTAAGCAAAGCACACACACACCCATCACCATCACCATCATGTCATCTCTCCGCCTTCACCCTCCTCCCTCGCTCCTCTCTCTCGTCCATCTCTCTTCCTTCTTCGTTCCTCACCTCACTCCTTACAACACTCAAACACATCATCATATATACACACACACACTCAGGTCCATTTCCTCGTTATCTTCTCGACACCTACACACACTGCTCTGCTTGCAGCGATCGAGAGCGATCGACCTCCTCATGCACATTCCCTAGCACTAGCTATCCGCTCCGCACCTGGGCGCATCGACCTCCGCACGTGCCAGATCCATCCATCAAGCCAAGAAGAACCAGCTGGGTAGTAACTAACGTACACGTACCCAGCTATAGCACGGCGGCAATGAGGAAACCGGAGTGCCCAGCGACGAACAACGTCAATGCCGGGGCGACGGCCGCGAAGCTGCGCAAGGGGCTGTGGTCGCCGGAGGAGGACGAGAGGCTGGTGGCGTACATGCTGCGGAGTGGGCAGGGTTCTTGGAGCGACGTGGCCCGGAACGCCGGGCTGCAGCGGTGCGGCAAGAGCTGCCGCCTCCGGTGGATCAACTACCTCCGGCCGGACCTCAAGCGCGGCGCCTTCTCGCCGCAGGAGGAGGAGCTCATCGTCAGCCTCCACACCATCCTAGGAAACAGGTACGTACGCGTGCTGCACACGTGCAGTATGGTGATTACACAGCACGACAATAAGGCTCTCGATCTAGAGAGTTAATTTATGGGCTTTGATGATTATGTCGCATGTTGGCAAGCAATTTTTATTATTTCGATTTCAATTTTATTTAAAAAACATATGTTGATCCAAAAACTTATTTGCTATTTTGAATTAGCTACTACAGATCGATCCCCTGCATATATAGTTGCATTGCACACATTTAGATTTCCTACATAGATAGATGGAGTTTCATTCGCCCTCTATCTAGCTCTCATTTGCATAGTTAAGGAGATCGCCACGAGTCTGTAGTTGCATTGCACGCCTGTAATAACGACTTTTACTAGAAAATTTTCAACGAGTGAGGAAATAGCTTTATAAGAATAATTATAGTATGTCACTATAATGTGTCTGGCCAAAATACGGGCCTTGTGTCCCCTCGCTATCAGCCTTACAATGAGTGGCATATATGTTGTGACTTACGTAGGAAGTTCAATTAGTTGCAATTTTCAGTGCGATGAGTTTTATCTTTTTCTTAATGTCAAAAACTTTTTAAGAAAAATCTGTAGGGAAAGGGCTAAAAGAATATATAATATACGGAACAAAAATTACTAATTATAAGGTGCAAGATTAGGTTAAGGAGAAATTATGTATTTTGGTTTCTGTTCTAGCTAGTTGATAAATGTATGTTTTACGTGGGTAGATCCAATACTTCACATCATTAGCATGAATATCTACCTAAAAACTAGCTAGCTAGTAATATATCGGTGACATAACTAACATTTTGCAATAGTAGTGTATGTGTAGATGCAGTACTACACTTCACAATAATATTCCATTTGCATGTATTCATTTTTTTGGGGTGTTTGATGTTATATTTCCCATGAAATGAATAAATTTCCAAGGCTGATAAAACCTAGATGCTAAAATAAAGTCACTCAAAAGGACACCGAAAGAGAGAGATTGCCCGTTACTTCCTTTACTGAGCATCATGCAATTTTTGTTGGATCCACATTAATTTTTCTTAAAGGAGATTAAGACATGAGCTATTTTCTTTGACCTCGAGATATTTTCTGTCGAGCTAGCCATATGCCCAGCCCATGCATGCATATATCAAAACATATAGCTGCGCGTGATGTTGACACGTACGTACACATATATATGTGTAATAAAAAATTGGACGTACGCATGACTTTTTGTCTGACAAAAACATCTATCTGGATCGATCGTTTGCTTACTTTGAAATCAACCCACCGTTACGACATTCCAGGTGGTCTCAGATCGCTGCCCGGCTGCCGGGGCGCACCGACAACGAGATCAAGAACTTCTGGAACTCCACCATCAAGAAGCGGCTCAAGAACAGCTCGGCAGCTTCGTCGCCGGCGGCTACCGACTGCGCGTCCCCGGAGCCCAATAACAAGGTCGCCGCCGGTAGCTGCCCCGACCTCGCCGGCCTAGATCATCAGGACGGTGGCCACCACCACCACGCAATGACGACGACGACAGGTCTGTGGATGGTGGACTCGTCCTCCTCTTGTACCTCGTCGATGCATCAGAGGCAGCAGCCACCGCCGACGGTGACCATGGCAGCTGCGGCGGCGGCCAGCAGGAGCTATGGAGGCCTCGTCCCCTTCCCTGACCAGCTCCGTGGTGTTATGACCGATGCGTCACCGGGAGGGTTCTTTCATGGCCACGCGGCGCCGGCGTTCAAGCACCAAATTGCCGCATTGCACGGTGGTTATTACTATGGCAGCAGCACTTCTCCTCGTCACCATGGGATGATGGCAATGGAAGGAGGAGGATGCTTCATGCGTGGAGAAGGCATGTTTGGTGTAGTGCCCCCTCTGCTAGAGCCCATGTCAGCAGCAGCACAAGAGCAAGAACAAGGCCAGGCCCTGATGGTATCAAGTGGTAATAACAACCCTAAAAACAACAGCAGCAACAACACTACTAAGACTACTACCACGACACTGAGTAACAATGAGAGCAACATCACAGACAACAACAACACCAAGGACAACATCAACACCATCAGCCAAGTGAACACCGGCAGCAATGTGGCTGCAGTCTTCTGGGAGGGGGCCCACCAGCAGTACATGAGCAGGAATGTCATGCATGGGGAGTGGGACCTGGAGGAGCTGATGAAAGATGTGTCATCCTTGCCTTTCCTTGATTTCCAAGTTGAATGATTGGGAGGGCCCATGCATCACCCATGCACGCTGCATCTCCAGCTGGCTGCCAATAGAAGGAGTAGTACATACATGCATCTATACAACTATACATATATACATACTTATACGTTAAGATTAGTATTTTTACATCATCCTTGACATTGCTATTCCAATGTAAAAGGTTTTCTCTTCTCTCACAGCTACTTCACCTCACTTTTGGGTCCCACACATATCTTGGACTATTCATCCTCTTGTACACAGGCATTTATGCCATGCAAATAATTCAATCGAATCCTGAGCTATACTATATATGTGGAAGTCACCACCTCTCATCTCACATATTTTTTTTAAATATTTCATATATATGAGCTTATATATATTGTACATACAATAAGGGTTGCGGAATATATAAAATAATGTTGTAGCTATACATACATATATAATGCAGCATGCTTCACCTTTATCCATATTTTTCCTTGGTGGTAAAGCTATATCTCTTTTAGTTTGTGTCTGTTCCTTTGCTTCCTCTTTGCTTTCCTTTCATGTACCAACTGCTTCCCTTGCACATGAAGTCACATTGATGAGCTTGTGAATATAGATCCTGGGGGGCCGGCCGGAAAGGTGCATTGTAGTACTGTGCCTGATCGAGAGAACATGATTATACACATGACACTGATGCATCCATCGACAGCATGTGCCTGCATGTATGCAGTTGGAGGAACAGTCACTGTCGGTACTGCTCAAGTATATGGCTGCAATGCAATCAGAGGCAGAGGTCGTTACACAGGTGCAATTACATCACAGAAGAATGGAGAGAGTGGAGACAGGAAAGTGGATGTGCCTCTTTGGTCTTTTGCCATGACGACAAATCGATAGAACTCTCTCTCTCTCTCTCTCTCTCACACACACACACACACACACTCGTCCCACCTACAACACAAACATTTATTTGTGGTGTAGTGTCTCTCTCTAAACGATCTATCATCTAGAGCACATATCCAAAGGACCAAATTGACCGCTCAACAGTTGGAAGGCGCTTGGTACCTGGTTTCATAATTCAGGTTGAAAATCAGACTACTATATGCCAGTTGAAGGTTAAAAAGAATTATCCTTTGAATAATTATTGCTCAAATTCATGAAGTTTGACTTTGTTGAATACCTATATGTCTTGTTTTTTTGAAATAGAGGGAGTAATTTAGATCCAACAGATTACATTGATTCTCCTGCCCAAATTTTGATCTAGAAACTTCAAAATTAGATTTATACTGACGGTTGGCTTAAGGGACTACCAGTGTAAATCTTGGATTTATATTGGTGGTGGCCTTAAAAAACTGTCAGTATAGATATGTTTACATTGGCCGTTTTATTAACCTGACACCGGTGCAATCATTTGAATTTTTTTTTATTTTCAAATGACCTCGGAGGGAGAAACAACATAAACCAAAGTTGTAGTAGTTCAAAATATCTACAACTTTGTAGCTTACTACTTTTTCATTCTGTTTTAAGATTAATGATTCTAAAATAAATATTTTTTTGAATTTTTCAAATGACCAAGGATGAAGAAATGACCTAAATGAAAGTTGTATAGTACTCGAAAAAATCAAAAACTTTTTGGTTCAAACTTTTTTATGTGAATTCGTTTAGTGTCTCAAATATGTATTGCAATATCCACTAAAGTGAATTGAAAAGGAATGTATCAGCCACTTAGTCACAATTAAATATAGGTGTAATGGTAAGGAAGCAACACGGGAGACCTAAAACCATTTACACTGGAAGTTTGTGTAAGCATACCGCCATTGTAAATCAATTTACACTAGTGATAGCCTTAGGCCAACCGCCAGTCTATTACATTATTTCATATTTATGGTTCATAATACCGCCAGTGAAAATTCTAAAAGTGCCGCCAATACAAATGTTTTTTTCTATACTAGTAGTACAAGCAAGGAGAAGTAGCTTTGTACTGCAAAGCCCCTTTAATATTAATTCAAGAATAATGCGAACTGTAGATGAGCTTGTTTGATGGAGAGGGCCCTTGTTTTGCTTTCTTACATGAGGAGCTAGATAATTGAAGTATGAAAATTAATCCTGCCCCTAGATAGGATTGTCCACCACCACTTTGGTTTGTTAGAAACAAAGCAAGATCCCATAATAGCGGTTTATGTACATTATTGTACTCCTCACATCATTGACGCAAGGAACACAACCACCAAGTGAAGTACAGAAGTCGTAGCCAAAGGTTTGGAACGTATGAGTGCATCCATGTGAGGGCATTATTGTTGCTATATACTTCGTACTTGCTAGCGCGCCCAGGATATATAAGTGCAGGGCTCCATGGATATACATCATTGCATAATAGGTGTTCTTTTCCTTGAAAAAAACATAAAAGGTGCTTTATTTCACTCCCTCTGTTACATCGTTTACTTAAATAAACAAACTTTTTTGAAAAAAAAAGTGAATGCCTAACTAACTCAATCCAAACTCGGTGGCTGACTTGTATATATTCTCCAACCTCCTTGCTACATATTTTGCATGCTTTTTAGCTTTTAGCAAAATATAGTGCTCAATTGAGAGCCTTCAAAGTCTAACCACCTTTTTGCTTTCTAGATCTCTTTAGAATTGATCTGACGAGCTGGTGAATTAAATTTAAAAGCTAATGAGTCCCCCCTCTATTCTCGCATCCAATTGGTGACATGTTGTAACCTTTACAGAACCCATGATTCGTTGGATCTGGAGAAGAAGAAAGATTCCCTTTGCATGAGTTGCTTGTACACTCTCATTAGCCCATTGACATGCCCATACTGGTCTCATGTTTCTTTCAGAACCTAAAACCTTGATGGTTACCATACCACGTACATACATCATTTGTTCATTGAACTGAGAACCATTAAACAAGGTAGTATTTCTTTTGGAAATCAACACAAATTAATATCTATCTAGTGAAAATTATCTTATGCGAGACGAAGTACGACATATATATCTAATATGAGTGTTGAGCGAAAAATGACGCATAACGTGCATGGATTTCCATTTCATGTGCTTCAGAACTCATTAGTTGGAATGTTTATCGCTAGTGGCTGACCGGGCCTTCCCTAGGTTGTTGCTTTCATAAGTATCTTCTCTTATCAGACCAAGTGGGCTATGATATGAAAATTTCCCTTTGTTTTTTTATTCCATTGAAAAACACAGCTTCTGCTAGACCCTCGAGAAGAGATCATTAACAATATAACTTCTTTTATATGTGACGATCATCGACCGCCACAGTGTTGGTATGACATATTCCAGAGTGAATGGAACAAGAATATTCTTAACGCCACAGTGTTGTCATGACATATTCTTTTATATGCGACGATCATCGACCCCCATATATTTTTGCTCCCAGAATCGCTTTGTTTAGAAGAGCAATCGTATGGAGGAAAATAGTTGAAGACTGAAAACCTTCAGTTCAAACTTAGGCCCTGTTGGCCATTTCCATTCTTTTGGATTCAACTTCACGAGGAGGTCTACCAGTGGCTCGGTTCATCATAATCGATGAACAATTGAACCAGACGAATACAACATCGATGATCCAGATGTGTCTCTTCTGTGCCACCTGAGAGCATTCCTGTTGTTCTTGAATCGGGTTTGAGGGGCCACAACGCAGAATATCTTTGTTGGTACAGCAAGATTGCAGTCGTCTTCTGCGGCAGAGAGTTGCAGCAATCGCCACGGAGGCTAGCGGCCCCAATTCTCCCTTCTTGTTCCTGTCGCCACGGCCTTCTCTTCTCGGCGAACCTAGGGAGAGCAAAGTGCATGTTAACATGTTAGAAGTAGAGAGTGAGACAAAGTAAGCGAGGTTACCACTATATGAATCGATGGATTTTTTTTTTTTGCTAGCTTATCTTAAAAATATCATAACTTTTATATATGAACTCGGATGAAGATACAATTTATATGAAAGTTGTACAGAAAGAAGAGATCTACAACTTTGTAGTTTGTATTTTTCATTTGAGACCGTTTTGATACTAAAAAAGTGATACAATATTCAGATGTGTATTTGTGGATCAGAACATTAAATTGATTAAACTACAAAATTTTAGATCTCTTAGGTATCTATAGTATTTTTATAAACATTATCCATATACGAGGTTATATGGAAAATTTATGGTTTTTCTAAATATACTACACTACTAGTGGACAAATCGAGGCAATTTATTCAGACCACATCTTCAAAAAATTATAATTTTTTCATATAGTTAGATATGAAGTCAAAAATTATACCCGAGTTGTATTTAACGATGAAATCTATAACTTGTTCACAACATTTTTGTTTGAAACCATCTTGGTGCCAAAATAATCGATATAATGTTTAGATCTAAAACTATAGATCTGGACATTGTATCATCTTTGTAGGTATCAAAATGACATCAAATGAATAAAGCCGTAAATGCAAGGTTGTAGGCCTCGTTTTTCTCTATAACTTTCATATAAATTGTATCTTTATCCAAGTTTATATATAACAATTATGATTTTTTAAGATGAGCTAGCAGAAATATGTCTTTTCATATATTTTTTTGAAATATGATTTTTCATGATGGAACAAAACCTACTCGATGCTTACTTAGATTATTGAATTCACCCATGCGTATAATACAATGGAGAAACAGACCCTCAAGATCACCGCCGAATCCACCCGGCGGTGACAGAACTTTTCACCGTCGGTTTAATTGTTCTCCAAGCATCACCGTCTCTCTAACCGGCGGTGATAAGGGTGCTGGGATAGCTCAATCTATAGTAGTGATGGGATCCCTACCCCCACCTTATATAGTGTGACATGTAGGGTTACATGGGAATCACCCCTAACAATCATTGGTTGTATTTCCTATTTGGTTGCAAATTAGCTCCGAGTTAATTGGAATACATGCACACCAAGTAGATGAGATACCCCTGGATGGATCAAATTCGTCCTTAAACTATCGGCAAGCTCACTTTGACCAAGAGGAGTTATAAGTTATAACTTCGGTGAGGATACTTGAGGTTTA